TTCCAGCAGAATCCCTTGATCAGTGAACAGGCAGTGCCAAATCACTCCCTTCACTCCTCAAACGTAAAGAGAACTCAGACTGTCAAACGGGTTCTGAAACCTGTGCCCTGCTGCTGTCTGCCGATGGATTATCTCTGCCAAACCATGACACTGATTTAATTTGGATTGTTTGCTATCTTTGGCTCCACTGTCCCCTTGAATCTGGAGAGGGAACAGCGCCTGAAGAAATGAACTGTGAAAGTTCTGCCCTAATGCTGGGAAAATGCTCCGTGTGCTGAGCTGCTGGAATCACATCTGACAGCTCCTGGGATTCTGGGGGTATCTGAAGCATCTGGGGGCTGCTGTTGTGCATGAGCTCAGAGCTGAAGTCCCGGTGAAGGTGGTGCTCTGTTTGCAACAATTCATGGCTGGGAGTCTTGAGGGGCTGTGGCTGACATGGGAATTGTTGTGAAAGGGAAGGCACAAATAGATATTAATCTCTAATTAATGCCTTATAAATACAGAATATCTATATGAATTAATCCCGAGAAAGGCCTTTTTTTCCAGCTTTTCAAATACTGTTAAAATGGGCAGGGACCAATATGTGGTGGAATAAATATTCATCAAGTTGTAGCTCTCACAGCAGAGACTGGACACAAATTGTTACCCAAGGCTGGGGATGGCAAGGCTGTGATCCCAGGAGGAGCTGAGAGCTGCTGCTCCCAATTTTTTGGGACGGGTGCCCTCCTGTGATGCACTGGGACTTCAATGATGTGAACACCTGCCTTTAATTCAGAGGCCAAAACCCAGATAAATTCAAGTTCTGTACCAGAAAGAATTGATAGAATTTATCCAACAGCTGATTTTCCCACTGACTGGAGTTTGAATTGAAATATTGCACTGAGGAGGGAAAAATTGAGGCAAGCATGAGCCTCAATTGGCACTGAGGAATTGGGAAGAGGAATGTGTGAACTCTCCTTGTTCCAGACTGTTTTTGGTATTTCTTGCCTGTGAAATTTGTGTCACCTGCCTGGGGACAGTGCTGGGGCTCCAGAAAACAACACGTGCAGGGATCAGGTGTCACCCAGCCCAAAGCACAGGGCTGTGCCTGCTCAGGGGACAGCAGCTGCTGCCAGGGAGGGCACTGAAATGAGAATTTGCTCAACACGAGTCGCTTGCAGCAGGTTCTCAAATTGTAATAGAACTCATCTGATTTAATGTGCAAAGAGCAAAGTGTGGCTGAAGTCCCTGTCTGAGATCCAGCTCCAAAAATAACGCGTGTTCTTGTAGAAAAAGGTTAGAATGTGAAGGTAAATGTGGATAAATGTGTCGGTTTTTCATTTAAAAATCACAAAATTACTGCAGAATTTTCACAAAAACATTCCCCAACCACCACCACCACCAACAAAAACCCCAAACAAACAAAAACTAGAAAAAAAAACCACAAAAAAAAAACCAAATAAAAAACCAAAAACCAGAAAAAACCAAACAAAACCCAAACCAACAAACCCCATACAAATAATCAAGCACAACACACCAACAAACAACTCTCTGCATGGTTTTGAACTTTGGAAAATCAGAATTTTGACTGAGCAGGGTCATGCCTGTGTTGCAGGTTCCTCATGCAGGACCTGCCACTCTCAGCTGTGTGCACAGGGAGGGAAATAATTTGAAAATGATGTTGAACTATAGGAAAAAGGGGAATTCTGCTTGAGTTCTTCCCAGGCTGGAAGTGCTCCACTCTCCCTGCCTGGCCTGGCAGAGCCCCTGCAGCCAGATGTGGTCTGAGTGACTCGCTTCAACTTCTGAAGAAGCTGTAATGTGTTTCCTGTGCTCAAAAATAACTGCTTTTAATTAATAAAATTGGTTTTTTACCATGTACTCTCAGTGCCAGCTCCTACTCTGTATTCACCTTCTCCCATTCTGTCCCTTAAACCCATGGGAAAGCCCTTATGGAAGGGACTGCCAAAGAATCTGGGCTCATGTTCTTCCTTCAGGGAAGGGATTTTAATATTTTTACAGGATTTTTCTTTCCTAATTGCTTCATTTGCAAGCCCTTTTCTGAGGGCCCTGGAGCACCCAGAATATCTGAGGAGGAGAAAGGCTGTTGATCAACCTGGAGCATCGACAGCCATTTGTTTTTGGAATAAACCCATCATTAGATGGATCATTGAACTGCAGGAATAGTCACGAATGGAGGCTCGGGAGAGGGTGCTGCCGTGGCTGGGACAGAAATAGTCCCTGCTCAGGCTGGAATCTCTCACTCTGGGTCAGGTGTTGGAGCTGGCTCCATGGCAGGGCTTCTCTCTATTCCCAGAGCATCAGGCAGGTGCCCGGCATCCTCTCTCGGGATAAAAATGTGCCGGGAATGCAAATGAGGGTTGGGCATTAATCCCTGGAGTGCTTGGAGTTAAAGGGGCAGTGCTGGTGACCCCCGGGGTACAGGGAATTATTTCATGTGTAAAGGAGGTGGGAAAAGGAATTTTCTCCAAGGGAGCTCTGCTGGAGTTCAGCGGGGATCAGGGTGAAAAATCAGCCTGGTGACAGCACCAGCTTTTCCTTGGGTAACAAAGTGGTGACCAAAGCTGCTCTGGGCCAGAGCAGCGTGGATGAGACTCTTGTGGATTAATTGGACAATTGCTGTGGGCATTCTGGGGGTTTGCAGTGCCCACCGTGCTGGAGGATCACACCAGAGCGCGAGCTGTGACCCTCATTTGTACTTGTTGCTGCAATTAAATGAGGCTCTTGTGCCGCTGATGAAAGATTCCACGGGAGATCAAACTCATTAATGCACGGAACAAACCTTCATGACAACCTGCAGAGGGCTGCTCCTGCCCTCCCCCGGGGCAGGGAGGGGGCTCTGTGAACATTCACATTCTCTTGGATAAAATTCAGGAGTGATGCTGCTGTGGGGGTTTGGTTGCCAGAGCCCTGGGAAAAGGTGAAATGTAATTTTTGGTATTGTGAGGTAGCCAGGAATGCTTCAGAGTGTGTGGTGACAAGGTGGAAATCGTGGCAAGGTGTGGGAGAAAAGGGATCAGAGAAGATGCAAAGCTACCCATTCAGACAAAATGGCAATATTTGGAATACTGGCATTTTGTCTGAACTGTAGATTTTTGTTTCTTGGACTTAAAAAGAAAACAAGAAACCACATTTATGTGAGTTTCCCTTTTTAAGTGGGTGCTTGTGGAAGGCATTCTGTTTGTGTGTGTGCACCTGGTGCATGGATACCAAGGTGACAGATTCACCAGAAATTCATCTGAAGAGCTGTCAAGCTATTAACTTACAGAATGAGCAGAGCAAAAAGGACATGCAGAAATTAAATATAGCACTTGAGTATTTAAACTGCTCTGTCATTTGATTGAAATGTTTCCTTCCCCTTGTTCCTGTTGCTATAAATCTTCCTTTCCTGACACATTGGCTCTGTCCTAGATGGCAGTTTCTGATGTTCAGAGTTCCTGTGAAGTTTATTTTCAAACAAAAAACGAGGCAGTCCGTGCAAGAATAACTATTTTGATTTGGGTTGACAAATATTTTCTAACCTGAAGCTAATATTTTTAAAGGTTCAGGCTGTTGAACAATGAAAACTGAAGCTGTGTCAGGTTGATTTAGAGATGTTTTTGTGGGTTTGTTTTTGTTTTGGGTTTTTTTTTTTTTTTTTGAGAGAGAGCACGCTTGAAATTCACGCAGCTGAGTTTTAGTCACTGCCTTAGAGGATTTTAATTTTATATTCTATTTTTTAAACATGAAAATAGGGCCTCATGCAGGATCAGTCAGCGAAATTCAGAGGACACTGATGGAGAATCTGTCACAACATTTTTCCTGATTTGATTTCGTCACCAGAATTTTGCAAGCCGTGTCCTGTGGCTGCTGCTCGGGGTGTCTGACCCTCGCTGCAGCTCCCGGGGGTGTGGGTGCCTGGCAATTTCCCCTTTGTCCCGCTGTGAAATCTGTTCTGCACGTGTGGCTGTCCCTGTGTGGTGTCTGTGGGTTCCTGCACCTCGCCCCCTCCATCCCCCACGGGCATTTTGGAAGCAGCATCGCCCCAGAGAACTCTTTTAAATCAGCTTTCACTCGCGTGAAACTGAGCTAAAAGCCCAGACCAGTTCTGCTGCCACCTGCTGCTGCTGCTGCTGCTTTTTTGGCTGCTCCTCAATCCCCCTCCTCCTTTGGCTTCTCTGCGAGCAGAGAACAACAACAAAAAAAAAGCCAAAAAAAAAAAACCCCAAAAAACAACCCACCAAAAAAAGAAGAAATAAACAAATAAAAAAAAAAAAAAAGAAAAACAAAAAGAGAAATTATTGAATTATTGTGAAAGGAGGCTGGAAGTCCAAGCTCGCTCGCTGCCTCCCTCCCGGGCTGGGCTGGCTGAGCAGGAAGGTGGCACAAAAGGGACAAAAGGGACAGCCCAGCCCAGCTGGCTCCTCCGGGAGGCTCTTCCCTCTCCTTGGCCCTTTCCTTCCCCCGCCGGGTTTGCGGCAGCAGCGCGCTCGGTAACACAAACCCTCTCTCGGGATTAGGAGCGCGGTTACACTTGCGGCAGCTGCCCGCGTGTGTCTCACCCGCTACAGAAACAGCGCAAGCTGCTCCTGCTACTCTTTCTCCTGATTTTTATCGAGCCTTGTTCCTCCCCTCCCTCTGTTTCTCTCTCTGCCCTCCCCACAGCTCCACGCCGCTCCTCTCCATGCTTGCCTCGTCTCTCGAGAAGAACCGCAGCCGAGTTTGCCTAGAGCAGCCCCGGGAGACTTTTCCTTTCCTGAGCCAGCAGAAGGCAAAGGGGGGCTGGGGAGGGCAGCTGAAAGCCGGCCAAGCCCTGTGGCAGTGCTAAACCTGCTTTGAGAGAGAGCGGGCAGGGGAGGGACCTTTTGTAGAGGAGAGAAGGAGAAAAGAAACTTGAAACTGGCTTCCCTTGTGACACGAGTGTGTCGCGGCCATCCCCTCCCACCGCGCCGGTTGTTCAATGAGAGCACGTGAAGAACATGAGGTTTCCTGCTTGAGAGGGAGGGCAGCGCCGGGGAGAGAGGGAGGAGGAAGGAGGAAGGCGAGTTGTGGCTTTGCGGTGTGGTTTACGCCGAGATCAGAGCTACGAGTGCCTGGGGGTGGGAGCAGAAGGAGAAAGGGCGTCTGATGCCAGCTGCCAACATGACAGAAACCCTGCAGCTCCCGGCGCTGCGGGTCCCCGAGCAGCAGGTGCTGGAGGGCGGCTGCGCCTGGTCCAGCTCGTCCACCCCGACCCTGCGCAGGAAGCGCTTCAAGATGAGGCGGATGAAGAACGTGCAGGAGCAGAGCCTGGAGGCTGGCAGGTACCAGGAGTCTCCTTCCTCCAGCAAGGAATACCTGCAGCTCCCATCCATTGAGATCACCCCCTCCAGTGACGAGGACACCCCCTGGTCCAACTGCTCCACTCCCAGTGCCTCCCCGCGCCGCAAGCGCTTCCTCCTTCGGAAGTGGCTGCGCGTCCGAGAGAAGAAGGAGTGCAGTGAGAGCAGGTAGGTCCTCTGGCCGCTCCCTTCCCTGCTCCCTGCCCAAAATAGGCTGGAAGGGTCTGTTGTTCCCCTGGATGTGCCTCTTCCCGGATTTTGTCCTCGCCTGTTGGCTGGAATGTGGCGTGGTGTTGGTTGGATGTGCTGGTGCCAGAGGAAAAGGCCTGGGAGCTGTTTGGGAATGGCAGGGCAAGGCTCTGTCCTCGCTCGTGGTCCTCCAGGTGACACTGAGCCAGTGGGTGAGAAGATTTAACCTCACTGAGGTGTCCTGAGGAGACCTGAGAGAGAGAGGAGTGACCTCTCTGCTGGCATTGCCTGCATGGGAGTGATGATGCCAAACCCTGCCAGTGTTTTTGGGTGATGCTCATTCCCACCACTGAGACTTCCCTTGAGATCCTTAGTACTGGGACAAAGAGAGAGACACCAAGCAGCCCAGTGGGTCTGTGTGTCAAGGTGGCTGGGCTCAGTCCTTGGCAGCTTTCCAGACCTGAAAGTCACACAGTCCTTTGGCTGGAAAGGGCACAAATCATTCCCAAAGGCCTCCAAGAGCCTGTCAACACAGGGAATTCATGCCCAGGCATTGTATTGTGTGGCCACAGGAGATAAAGCTGCACCTTATGTAACCCTCTGCAGGGCACCCCACATGCAGGGCAATTAACTCTTCCTTTAACAATCTACATGCAGCAGAATTAACTCTAACAATCTACATGCAGTGCAATTAACTGTCCCTTTAACAATCTACATGCAGCGGAATTAACTCTTTAACACTCTACATGCAGCAGAATTAACTCTTCCTTTAACAATGTACATGCAGGGGAATTAACTCTTCCTTTAACAATCCACCTTTCCTGAAGGCCTAAACACACAAGACACTTTAAAGATTTCTCCAAGAAATTGATATAAATTTATAAATCCTAAGGCTGGTTTAGTGCAGGCCAAGTTTTCTTCCTCTGTTTGCAGCTCCTGTGCAGCTGATCTGTGGGGTTGTGTTTAAAGGATGTGCTCCACTTCCAGAAAAAGAGAAACCTTTAACATTTCTGCACCCACCAAACCACACTGACTCACTGCCTGCTGTGGTGCTTGAGTGTTTACAGGGCAGAGCTTTGAATATCCACCCTGATTATCTGATAATTTTCCTTTCACCAGGTCCCTTTAGCAAGGTCAGTCTGTCAGCTTATTAATTTTTAAAGAACTTTCATCAATGAATGCATGCCATTGAGGATCTGATAATCCCTCTCAGCAAGTTAACATTGAAAAACATCTCTTGGTTTAGGAAATATTTCTGATTTAGAAAATATTTCTGTTTGAGGAAATATTTCTGATTTTCACGTAGCAGTGGTGGTGCAAGCAGGGATTCAGGCACAGCACGCAAAATGGGAAAGATAACGCATGAGGCACGTGCTGAAGTGTCAGAATATTGAAGTTATGCTCAGAAGTTCACAGGATAAAGGATCCAGTCCTTCAGCTGAGGATTTAATTTGGATTTATTGATGGTGAATGAGTTTCTGGCAGGCCAAGACACGTTGCTTTTGGTATGAAGGTGGAAGAAAGAGCTACATTTCCTTATACATTTGCAGTTTACATACGTTGCCATGCTGACAACTTCCTGCTCATTCGTCCCCAAGGGATTTTTTGGCGATGTTTCGGAAGCAGTGACTGGAAGGAAGGTGAAGTGGTGGACATTAGCATACCAAAGCCAGCCTGGCACCTCCTTTCTTCAGTGCAGCAGGATCCAGATCCACCCCTCCTGCCCCGGGAAACACGGTGCTCTCAGCTGGCATTTTTCCAGGGATCATCCCTGGGCTCTCCCACCGCAGCAGCAAACAGCCCCAAGGAGCATGTGAAAAACGCCAGTCACTTGGTTTTAGAATTTGAAAAGTTTAATAGTAATAAAATGGTTATAAAGATAGTAATAAAATTAGAGTAATGAAAAATTGGACAATTAGGATTAGGACAATAGGAGACAATAAGAAGAAAGAGTTAGGGACAGTCCAGGTACCTCTTCCTGGGCAACATAAGCCACTCGCTAACAGAGGATTAACCCTTAAAAGCAACAGCCTGTTACATATTCATACATCTCATAGATGATGCATAAATTCCATTCAAACACAGGATTCTGTCTGGTCAATGTCAACTTCTTCCTCTGAATCCTGACAGCTCTTCAGGGCTGAGCGAGGCAGGAAGAAGTTAGTTAGTTTCTTCTGATAATGGAGCAATAAATTCTTTTTCTCTGAAAGATTTAGGTGTCCTGTGGCTGCTGTCTTGGTGTGAGTACCTCCTTCCTCTCTTTAAAAAAAGTATCTTACATAGCACAGTTTCTATTTTAACATTATGTTATAAGCTAAAACTATATTTAACACACTACTTAAGAAAACTAATACAGCTTAACTTTCTAACGTAACACATCTAATATTCATTTGAATACTTGCGAAAAGCCAATCATAAAATACACATTTTTCACAAGCAGAACCTGTGGGGAGCCGGCCATGGAAAGGGTGAAAAACCCTGAGGGGTTTCTGGCATTCATTTGACAGAGATGTGGGGTAAACTTTGCTGTGCCCCCAGTGAAATGTAACTTTTGCAGGGCAAGAAGCTGTTTTGCTATAAACCAGAAATTGCCTGTTTGCTGCTCCTGCTGTGGCAGGGTCAGAGAGAGCCCCTGCTCTGCCCTCTGCTCTGCTGTGCTGTTGGTGACAGATGCTCCCGGTGTCACCTCTGTGCTGTGTGATGTTTGAGGGCAGCAGGGACAGCTGTGCTGGGGGGTTTTGTGCAGATCACTCACCAGGCTTTCATTTCTTCCATTCCATTGGTGGTCTGTCACTCTAGGACACAAAATAAACCAACACGGACACTGGGATCGCCAAGGTGAAAAGGAGGCAGTTGAATTTCTGACTCCAGCATTTAGAGATTTTCAAAAGTGACAGTGGATTGGAGGGTGACAGTGCCACCTCTCCAATGCCACTGGACAAGCCAACAGTCCAGCAAATTTCTCCTCTTCAGAAAAGAATGCAAAACAATAATTAATTAGAGAAAAGCGTGTGAGAAAGTTCATTACAGGAATGTAAACATCAGAAGGTTTAGAAGAACTTAAAAACCAAGGCAGCAGTGGTCAGTGCCAGTGTCCCAGGGATCCCCAGCGTGTGCCACCCTGTGCTGGGAGTGCAGGTACCCCATGAGGTGTGCAAATCCCCAAATTTACCTGCTGAAAGCAGCAGCCTGCAGGCTGCGGCCCCAGCTGGAGAAACAAACAGAAATAAACACAGTTTGCTGCCAATCACTCCACTTCTCTGCTGGAATCTCATTTTTTGGGTACCTTTTATCCCGTCCCGCGGGCAGTAGCTGTGTGGTGGCAGGGTTTTCCCAGGAAAGCTGGCAGGGAGCAGGCTGTGCCCCAGCTGAGCTGCTCCTCGCTCTGCTCTCAGGGCCCCGAGCAAGAATTCTGTGGCCAGCAGCATCCAGCAGCATCCAAGTGAATAAACAAACGCTGTCTCTAATGCTCCAGGTCTGCTTTTCCCACCCGGAAACTCCCACGTGCTGGTTAGTTTTTAACAGCTTGGGTAATTGTGAGCTTTGTTCACCTGCTGGCTCTCTCAAAGCTGACAGAGCAGGAGGGACGATGTTCTTTTCCTTCCATCAAACCCCAGGGATGGTTGGGAGAGCCTTTCCTGCCCCTGGCACTCTGTGTTCAGTGTGAGGAAGGCAATTCCTGGGGGTAGGACTGTCCCTGAAACTGTCCTTGTTCAAAGAATGATGGCCCAAACCTCAAGGTTGCTGTACATATGATAAATGGGATGGTTTTTATGAGGGATGCAGACAGCTCCTCCTCTACCCCTCAGCCATCATTTGCCAGCCAGGTAATTAAGTTATTTACCTTTATAAACTGAAGCCTGCACACAAGTACACAATTTTTTATTTAAATTTTTTATCAAGACATGCTGATGTTTCTTCAATCTGGTGGCATTTTGCTGTGCATGCAACCTGCATGCATCATTGATGTGGGCATAAGGCAGTTGATCAGCTTTAATTTATTATTTACCTCTCCAAGCCAGCCTTGCTTGTAATTTCAGGACCTGCACGTGATTTTGGGGCAAGAATTGCTGAGTAGATCATTCAGGCTTCAATTTAAGGACAGCTCTCCCTTTGGCCTAAGATCAGGACTGCTTAAGGATGAAATGTTGGTGCTGCTAAAGATGCAAAACTTGTGGATTTTGCTGGAGCAGTTCATGCAGCAGCTCTTGACACTTCTGTAGATGAATTTACTCAGGCTGGTTTTCTGCTGGAAACTCTGACACTCACTGTGGATTCACCCGAAAGGAAAGACTTGTCTGAGTCCTAAAATGCCTCTAACACATGAAAAATGAAGTGTATTATGAGAAGAATTCCATCCCAGCTCAGAAAAGTGTCTGTGCTGAGGAGCTGGAGGTTTCTTGAGCTGCCAGCTACGCAAATGTGGAGGTTTTTCAGATGAAATCCTGGTAACTTATCTCAAAGTATGGAACAAATGAGGGGAGGCTCCAGCACTGCTCAGCTCTGGGCTCTGAGGCTGCTTCCCTTCATGTTCTGAGGTAAAAAAATCTCCTTTTTTCCTTAAAAACCTTTCTCTTGATCCCTCTAGTGATATAAATTAGTTAACAGTTAATTGATTTGTTGGAACTTGAGCTAAAATTATTTACAAATTGGTGGCTTAGATATTTTGAATTGGCTTATAAAGGCAAATGAGCCTTTAATTTCAAGTAGCCCATCATGCTTTTGCCTTCCTTAATTAAATTGAAATTCACTCTGAGCATTTCTGGGAATAAATTAATGGTCATTCCCCTTTTTCTAACTTCAACATGTGTGCAAAACATTCTGGTATTTTCTAGAGGAAAAATCCTGGGTGATGTGATTTTTTTCTTTTTTTTTCCCCTAAGAAACTGCTGATGGTGAAAAGCAAAAAAACCAAAAAGCTGCAAGATTAATTAGAGGTTGTAGAGGTTATAGCTCCTCTTCCATGATGGAAAAGTGAC